AAAAGCTGCAAACTATCCAAAAAGTCTTAGTGCATAACATGAAGGGGTGTATGGTATGAAGAGCTGGACGACAAAGAAAATCATAATTGGATGTGGTTGGTGGTTTTCTTTTGCCTCAGCTTTCCTCGTAGTATGTGGATTTGACATTCCCACTGCTCCTTATCAGACAGAACTCTCTATCTGGAGACTGGCTCTGCCTGGGGTCACATAGCAGATGACAGTGTGACTGTGTGGACATGGTCTCTCATGGGGCTGTTCCAGTTCAGCCTACAAAAGGAAAAACCTAAAATTGAGTAAATCCAGCAAGCAGCATGATGGCAGACAGTGCTGGAGGTAGGAGAGCAGGCGTGTGTTCAGACTTGAGGTTGGGGAGGAGAAGGCCTATTTCTCGGTGCTGGAGAGATCAGATGCAAGGAGTTGAGCTTGAGGGAAGATGGAGAAGCGAGGAGCCTGATCGTGGAAGGGTTTAACTGGGAGGACATCTGCCAAATTTCATAACTGATCCGAAAAAGACAGGGAAAAAAGTGAAATTTCATGAATATTCAGACATACATGAATGTTATTCTCTGTCCACCCCTGCCACCCCACCCCCACAATTGTAAAACACCCCAATTGCTCTTCTGACAGTGGGAGTGGTTTAAAAAATGAAATGGGTTGGTGTGGTGGTTGTTAGCTGCTAATATAGCTACAGCACTGGTGAACAGTTTTCCAGTTTTAGTCTGAGAACATTGAGCTGCAAGAGGAGGAACACATGAATACCTACCCACATGGCTGCTGGCAGCCTGGTTATGTTTTTGGCACTAACTTGCTGCTGGCTCCTTGATACCTGTGCCAAATAGGAGCACTTTCCTAGGCATCGTAGGTGAATGGGAACAGTATTGTGGAAGTCTGCATCAGGTGGGGTATTGGGTCTTGCTTTAATATGTAAACTATTTTTTGATCAGTTCTTATCCCCTAAACAAATAAATCTTTCTCATGTAAATATTAGAAGACCTAGCGGTAACTTAATATTCCCTGTTGTTGTCCATGTTTATGTTTAGCAGTTGAGGCATTGCTAGCAACATAACATAACTATATCCTGCCTTTTCTTTGGTAATTTTGGTAGTAATTTTAGAGTTCAAAAGGGAGAGATAACTAGAAAGAGATTACTTGTAGGTCTTTGGTAGAATTATGTAACGTGCTGTAACCACTCTTTATTCCTCAAAGGAACACAGGTATATGTATAGTATATTATGGTATGATTAATATTGCTGAATGGCTAATCAGGAAACCTGGGGAGCTTGCAAAGCCATCAGAAATCTGGTAGCATTACTCACTGTGAAGCAGTAGCAGAAAAGCATAAATGCTTTTACAGCTATGTTAAGAGTGGTCTGCTGGAAACAATACCAAAGTCCAGTCTGTCTTTCTATGATTTACTTGCTCCTTTCAATAGATGGCAAAAATTAGTGTATTTTCTTGAAGGTTTACCCCTCTTGCTTTATGAAGGCCTTGTATTGTAGGCTTAGACTGGGCTTTTTCATCATGTTTAAAACTATTTTTTTTAAAAGCTGTGAGAGGTTTAGCACTTCTAAAATAGAACCCTCTGGATTTTTAAACTTGCAAGAAAAATAAGAAAAGCAGAAGACAAAAATCCAAAAATCAACTTATTAAAGAGATAAGGCAATGAAAGACCAAATCAACTATTACTGTTAGCTTTAGGGTTAAATATAAACAGCAACACCAAAAAATCATTCTTCCAAAGGCTCCTTTTGCACGTAGTCTGCCCTAAGTTTCTGTTTGGGACAGGCTTGCAACCATTCATTTCCAGGTGTTGTATAGCTCTGTGAATGCCAGTTGCTCTTGTGCTCAATTCTAGATGTGAGATGTCTTGATATGGTTTGGAACGGTGAACATGGAATCTCAGAATTGGTGAATATGTTTCCAACTTTACAATCTGTCTGGTGTCAACAAAAGTCCTAAGTTCACCACTACTAGCATATATTTATTCTCTTAATTTGAATTTTTTAGGCTCCAGTGATACTTAAAGGAAGCCTTAATTTCTTCTTGACCATAACCACCTATGGGAGATCTGTATTGGAGGATGATTATTTGAGTAAGGATACAAAATCTGACTTCAGAGCCTCTAGAAAAATCAGCTTTCTTCTTTGCTTATTTCCATTCCAATACAAGAGATACTTTAACATACTTTAAGTAAAATGTTTTTTTACGCAGAGACTTTTTTGAAAAGAATTGCCAACTCATTACTTCACTGTAGAGGAATGTGATATTTCTAGTGTTCCACTTCAGTGACTAGATTAAATAACTGATGAAAGCCTGTTACTTTGATGCTATTGCTTGTTGTCATTGTAATAATGGTTCACTAAATATCCTGCTTTTGTGCTTGTTTCCATTACTTTTGTTTATATACCATATCTTCCTGCTTCTGTCTTCAAAACCTTTGCATTTAATTCTGTGTGACTCCTGTCTTAGGGAATGGTACTTACAGAAACATTTTGTGAAACCATTGTTGTTAGTTGAAGTAACCCCTAGAATAGTTGCTTAATGATCTTCTGTCATGGCTTAAAAGAAATTCTCCCTCGAGCTGGGCTTTTGAAAAATGTATTAGAGTGCTTGAGTAATTGCTTTAATAGAAGCCTTCCAGGAAAGCACCGAGCAGTAGAAGAACGAAGGAAAGAGCAAAGGGCATCTGTTTGACACTCTTCTGAAACTGGACATCCTAGGGCTTGCTGTGCTCGCTGAATGGGTTTGAGTTCACAGCTGGTTTAGAGCGCTTCTGCGTGCCAGCATCTGCAGAGGAGCCGGGCTGGCTGCAAATCATGTATATAGAGAACATGCTGTACGAGAAGAGACTGAGCATTTTCACGTGCTTGCCTTGACCCCTCCCGAGTGAAAATCACTGCAAACAAAACAGGATTGCGTTCCTGTACCTTTTGAACTGGATGAACAAGTCCAGCATAATAGCAATCAAGCGTGCTACTCACGTCTTTAGACAATAAAATGCAGCTGATAATCTGCACTTGTTCCTCTAGCTGCCTTTTGAAATGTAAAGCTTTAACTTACTAAGTCATACAAACTTAATGTGCAGTGCTTGTACAGTGATCTTTTTTTTTGTTGATTTCTTTTTTTGTTTTGTGTATGGGGGGCAGGGTTTGTTTGGGTTTTTGCACCTTGTTTTGCTGAGAAGCTATTTAGAAAAGGAATTTGACTAGTCTGGATTAATTACTTTTCTGGTATGTTGATCCATTAATGAAATGAGCTTTTAGAAAACAATGTGGAAAGTCTTAGAAAGCTGTTAGATTTGTTGTGTGAAGTTCAGATGCCACAGAATTTTTTATTTAATTTTTTTTTCCCAAACACATTACTTCAGATATGTTGCCTGGAGTGCTGTGTTTGAGAGATGTTTTCAGTAAGCGTGAGCTTGTGGTTTGTGGTGTTCTCATAGCACAACAAAGGTTGGATGTTCTTTAGTGAGTTGGATATATTCAAGTGTCTGTTAAAAAAATTCTAAAATATGGCCAATAATTTTGTCTCAGAGATTTAATACCAGGCTACAGTAAAGCCATATACAGAGTCACACTTCTGCATAGTAATGCCAAACAAATAGTAAAAGTGCGCCTCTGAAAAGAGAGGTCTGATGTAAAGCGTGTTTAATGACACATTGGAGCTTCTGTGTTATATTCAGTGATCAGTATTACATGGTATCTTAATGCATGTTTTGTTGTATGTAGGGTTTCTCTTTTGTTACTGAGTTGATCTAAACTGATGGAAATAGCTTGGACATACCTTCCTTTTTACTAGTTCTGTTCCTGTTTTTGTGTACTTGATACAGGATGTTTTGAGACAAGTTACCTAATCCTGTCACACCACCTACTGTTGAAAAATAGGCATTGGGTATAAACGTAAGATAAACTGTGTCTTGTCAGACTTGAAAACGGCCATGACATCAGAAGTTAAGATATTTTGCAAAATATGTTTTTCTACAATAAATAACCAAATATTTTTTTTAAATGTCAGTCTATCTTCCATATCTATTTTGTATAAAAATGAAAACCTCTCTTTCCAAAGTTAGTCAGAGGACTGTATAAAGATCTTGATGTCAAAGCTGACAAGAGTCAACTCAGTTCTGGAAAGACAAGTTGGTGTGTACATAACTTCCCTCGGGGCATTGTAGTTCTAATCTGGGTGCACGCTTTTTGGAAATAAACGAAAAGCTTAATTTAACTAAACTCAAGTTTTCTCGCAGAAGGTGTAGTTGCTTTGTTAGTAGTACACGCTAAGCTCCCGTCTGAAGATGGCATACCTGTCCCCTGTATGGATACTCTTCCTATTTGATTAACTTAGCTATTGGGCATTTGTATTCAACAAGCTCCAATGAAAATAGCAATTTATGCAAAAATGTGTCTGCACCAGTTGGCCATTAAGAACTTGTTTTCGAGGAGTCCTGTTTAACTAGTTCTGCAGAACTAGTCGGTTTTCAGTATGTTACTGTGAGTACAACGCAATTTGTTGCTCTCGGGCCGTGTTTGTCCGTGAAAGGGTATTATCTTTTGGAGTGCTCTGTCAAATGGGGTGGGGGAGGTAGGAATCTCTGTTTTGGGAACAAACAAAAGACTCTTTCTTGTACTGTCTTCGAGCTGGAGGTTATATTTTTATGGGATTGCCAGTACAGCTAACCATAATACACAAAGGTAGGAGAATACTAGGAAGACTTTTTGTGTGTGCAGATGTCTGCCTTGAAAGCCAGCCTGTAAAGCTCTTGACTTGTTCCTGAAGTCAATATGCAGGTAAAAAGTGGATCCTTTAAATCCTTGGAACTTTTTTTCTGCATTACAACATTATTTACTGTGTCAATATGAGATAGATTAAGCCTTTTTATATGTATTTTAAATGTGTAAATCTTTTTACTTGTAGACATACATGTAGAAGAAGCAATTGTTTTAAGCTTCTTTCCAACTCCTTTTGTCCTTTTCTCTCCCTCCCCCTTCCCCCTCAATTGACAGGTATAGGATCTTCGCCAAGAGAGAAGCATGCCTCTGTGATAAATTCTCCAGCCTCCTGGGCTAGCTCCAGTAAACCGCCCACCAAATCCAAAGTGCCTGTCAAAAGATCAGTGCTTGAGAGAACACCTAGCATCTCATCAGTCAGCAGCACTCAGAGCGAGCGAAGTCTTTTCAGCAGTAATTGTAAGTATCCGTCAGGGTTACAGGTTATAACTGGTGGCCAGCATCAGCTGCTTGTTGAAAATATCCCCTTGAAGGAGGTCTTGTGTTAATTCTCATTGTACTGCTTATTATTAGTTCTAGGTCTTACGGTTTTTACCTCAAATTACAACTTTCCTTTTTGAGGCATGTCACCTGACACAGCTTTGAGCCTTCAATTTTGGTTTGAGTAGAGGTTTCAGTACAGCTCCTCTTCCATCCTGAAACGTTACAAAACCAGCAGGTCTTGAGCAAAAGTTTCCTTGTGTTTACATATAATGTAATAAGAAAAAAGTCTGAATGATGTGAATGAATTACCTGTCCTAATATTTGGAACAACACATTTCAGATTTTTGATACTAAATGCTCTTTTTGAATTAGATTATGTCTGCTTTCCGAGTTTTAAGACAAAATGTGTAGATGGGATCAAAAGCAGGTAGGTGAAAATGCTTTTAGAAGGTAAAACTTTGCATGGGTAGACTTCTATAATTTCTAAGATAACTGTAAGCATTGGTGCATGACCTGAAGCAAATCCATCTTGATTAAAACTAGAGAGCAAAATAACAAAACTGGCTTTGATTGAAGTTCTACAAAGGGCCTGTACTAGCAATTGTGGGAGTTACAGGGGAAAAAATATGAAGGAAATAACACACAACTGACTGTCAGATGTACTAGTATTCCCAGCTATACGTACTCAAATGAGTCCATTCAAATATTCTGTTACTATTGCATCATCTGTTACAGCTTGGAGCCTGGGCAAAGGCCTTTCCTTTGTGTCAGATGTCATTTAAATCTGTCTCCAATGGACTGAAAGAGAGAGCTGTGATTTAACATATGTCTATAGTTTATATATGCGCATATGCATACATATATAACTAAATTTTCTCTTGTTCTTTTTAACCTGTAGTGCCTTCATTAAAAACCTAAGACCTAACATACTCCTCAAAGAAATAAGAGTATGTGTAATAAAATATGCAGTGCATGTTCCTGTGTAATCAGGTTGGTTCAGTTACTGTGACAGCCATGTTGACTTTTGCTGTTCAGGTTTAGGAGTGTATCTGGAATTCCTAAGCAGCTTTGTCCTCTCTTTATTTTACTCTCTCATGTAACAAAGGAAAGAGTCATCGCTTTATAACAAAGAAGTTTATTCAGATTAAGTATCCAAACAGATGACTCCTTATTTAGCCTGATTTGCTAGCTGGTTTAATCTGTTTTGTCCACTCCTTGAAGCTTACAATTTTTTTCCACTCTGATTCACGAAGAGCAAGCAGGAGCAATATGAGAGGTCGAACATGGCTGCAGTCTCTTTGGCTTTAAGCTTGCTTTGATCCTTTTTAAATGACTATACCAGGAGGACTCCGCAGTTGCACAGAAACTAATTTTTCTCCTGTTATTTTCATCAATTCTACACTAACGCCACCGACTGACTCGAGAAGCCACTATGATATTACCTTACTGACATTGCTCGTAGTGGGATCTTACAGCTTTTGTATTATTCCTTTGTTAGCCACGTTTACTGGGAAAAGAAGTAGGTTGTATTCCTTCTTATTTCTATTGTAAAGCATGTATTTTGTTTTGTGGAGGTTGGTAAATGTATACAATGTTTTGACTTGCTGATTTTCTGTGAGATTATCTTTCTTTAGTTAATTTCTTACACTTGATGTCTGATGGTCAGGTTTTGTGAGTATAATGAGTTTAGGTTACATATAATCCCTATGTTAGTAAAGTGAAGTTTTTATGAATTTGAATCGAATTGGGAAGAACTAATGAATTTGTACTCTAATATTAAGTACAGTGCTGTTTTTTATTCTTTCATTTCGTCTATTAGACAATGTCAGGAAAAAAATCTATATTTGTAAAACTAAAATGCTTTTATTAGATTGAGACACACAAAGATCAAGATAGGAGGCTTATGCTGTGAATGTCATGAAATTTATGACAAACTATTGTGGTCTTGTCAACAGTATTAAATTGACAAAACTGCTTGGCTTGTTTTACTTAAGGAGTTTGCCTTGTGATAGCAGAGAAAAAATTACAAAAGAGAACATTTCTCTTGCTGTGTCAGCTCAGCCCTTTGTTAGGGGATGTCCTTGGATTGGTAATTTCCTGTGGCAACATTAGGGCTTTTTCCTTGTCTAATGAGCGCTTGAGTTTTACGATTCTTTTCTCTAAGAAGACTGACTACTTGAAGTTTGGAAATCATGAAATTTGAAATGCTGTTCTTAATAAAAGCCTATTTTCTATGCAAGCTGTCAGTTTAAGCATTGAAAAATCGAATTTTCTTCTCCATTTCAGTGCTGAAAATACTATAATTTGTATATACTGAAATGTTTAAACTCTTGAGTTTAAGAACAAGAATCCCAATTTGAATTGCATTAGTATAGCTGCATATAAAGGAAATAGTGTTTCCGAAGTTAAAAAGCTGATCCTGGCAATTGACCTGGAGCTGCATTTCTGTACAAATACTTCACTAAAATTCTTTAAATTAGTTGACTTTTTAAACCCTTTAGATCTTAGCTCAGGTGAGATCACTTCATACCTGTACATCTTCCGTCAAGATTGCAGTAGCTACTCTTAATTCTATGAATAACCATCTTTGAATCGTATAGTGACCAAACTTTGCAAATTTGCCTTTTCTGCTGCACACAGCCTGGTTAGCTGACTCCAGAGCTTCTAATAGGACAAAACAGTGCCCTAACTAGTCCTGCACCAGAAGTGTGCTCACTTACCCAAAGTGTTCCTTCCATGGCATGCTTTTGATTTAGAAGAAAGCACAGCAGCTTGTAGGCGGTTGTTCGCTGCTTGCAGTGAGCTCTGAGAGAAATCCTTAATTTAGAGATTTACAGAACAACTTAAGGACTGCTTCAGGCCTCATACTTTAATACAACAAATTGGTTTGAATTGTCTGATGTTATTGTGGGTCAGATTCCCACAGAATAACTGTTGTTGATGTTATGCAAATTGTTCCTCATGTATAGATTTTTTTGCACATATTTAGCTTTTGTGTCTTTAGAGGGGCTCCAGCTTTCTTTGTTTAAAAAAAAAAAAAAAAAAGCGGGTGACTTCAGTTGCATATGTTTCTAAAAGGGAAAACAGTTCTGTCCCTCTTTCTGTCGTTGAAAATGTATTGATTAGTGGCCAAAAAGCATTTTTTTGAAGTAGTTAACTGACACGGTTTATGCTAGTGCATTTGAAGACACTAAAATAACCTCAAGACTTTGTTCTGTCTTGTGATGAACAATATTAGATACGTAGTTCACCTTGCCTTTTAAAAAAAAAAAATCATCCTCTTTAAAACACTAATCTGAGGCAAGCCTGACCCACCCCCCCACCCCCGCTTTTTTTGTCTTTAAATGACTAGAGGAAAAAAGCAACAGTGTGACAAACTATTCCAATGTGACTTAGTTTTTGCTTGTCTCTCCTAAATGCAATGTCAATTTCGTACTCTTTAATGTGTCAGTATACATAATTTTTTTAGTACCTGAACCAAAGTGTACTCAATCTATACTAACTTTAGAAGTATTTTCATGTTTTCTTCTGGAAAAATAAAACAATGTTTTGCCAAAATTTCAGTTCCCCCTCCCCCCCCCAAATTTTCATTGTGACACTAACCCCAAACCTCAAGTTCCTTTGAAATGGAACAAAGCGTCTTCTGCAGCAACTGCCCTGTTAGTTGGAAACCTGACTTTGATGTGCGGTAGCAAATGCTTATTGTCCTGCCTTTCCCAGTTTGGGTCTCTCTGCCTCTTTTTGCACGGAGTATATTTTGCTGTATGACTTCAAGTCTCTGAGGACCACTGTCACTGAGGAGGTCACTGTTATGAACAGAGACTCCAAGAACTTTTCTTAAAACTTGTTTGGTAGCTGGTGAATGCAGTTGGGCTCACATGTTTTTTTTCAGTGCCCCACAAGGACAGAAGGGGTGCAGAGTCCGCTGGTGGTGCATGCGTTATGTCACTGAAACAGTGCGCTCAGCAAAAGCGAGAGGGAACAGGGGAGGGTGTTGAATGAGGAAATTGTCTGAGATTTGTTTTTTGTTTTTTTTTAACACTCAGTTCCATGGCCAGAATGTCTTTGTGTACTGATGATGCTTTTTCGTGGGTTAAACTGAAAGGTGTTCAGTGTTTGCTTTGTACAGCAAGATCAGACTTCCAATTATGTATGGTGATCAATATACTTTTATATATGTCCCTCTCTTATTGTGCATAGTTTAAAGCTGTATGTCTAGTTTGTAGTTTGAGGGAAGTGTTTGTAACAGTCATACACTGATCTGTTCCAGTTCATCAGGCTATCCGTACTGAAGATATCAGAGGTGGTCATATTTTCATTCTAACTTGTGTTTCTCCTGACTTTAGCCTCAGGTAAAACACAATTGTTCTAAGATTTCATTTTCCCCAAACTAGATACTGCCTAGAGCAAATTCTTTGTCATTCTGTGTTGCAGCTGCAAGTGCCACAGTCATCATCAAGAATGGAGAATGGCCTTCAAAACCAGCCTGCCAGAATGGTGCTTTGGGATCTGTCCCTTTGAAAGCAGTACCAAGACCTAGATTACACTCGTTGAAGTCAACTCCAAAAGGTATATGGGTCTGTTTGTAGATAGAGTGAAACTATAGTTTTGACTGTTATGGTACCGTACCTTTTGCAGGTGACTGCCTCATGAAGCGGCATTTATTAAACAATGGTCTTGCAAAATAGTGCAAGAAATTAAAACCACATCAGTGGTGCTTCCAAGTTTTGTAAGATTTCATAGGAAGGCTAAAATGTCGGTTCTGTCATCATAGTTGCCTTGGGTATTTCAGGCAAATGAAGAGGAGGTCTGCACTGAGATATGGCTAACGTTTGCATGGCATAGGGTCTAAATGCATTTTGCTGTGTGGCAGGTGTCATTGTGTGGAGTTTACGTTGTTTTAGTTAAGAGTTCTTTACTGTCACAAAGCTCAGGTACAGACTGTGGCTGCTGGCGATCTGCAGGGTAGACCTACCCTGGATTTATCCTGAGTATATGGTTGTTCTCGTCCTCATGCAGACTTTGCATTATCTTCACCCCTTTCAGTACAGAAAGGACCCTGCGGGATGGGGATTTTTTTTTTTCAATAAGGTGTTATTAGAGTAAGTATCTTCTTTTATAGATGAATGACATTGTCCTATCTTTCCAAGAGAAGAGTCCCAGAAACAGCTTAGCTCTTCATGCTGCTTTTTCTTTATAGTCTTCTTGCTGGCTGAGGTGTGCGGTGAAAAAGCAGAGGCTTGCTGTAATTTTTGATGGAGATAAGGCAATTGTGCTTCATCATCTGGTGCCAAAGATTAATTTAAATGTACTTTCTGGCATTGTATTAAACACTATTCTGGTTCCTATTCGAGTCAGGACCCCTTGATTGGCCAACAGTGCTTCTCTACTCAAGCCACAACAGCAGTTGACAGCCCATCCTCTGGACAAAATTAAAGACATAATGGGAGCAGATAAATAAGCTTGCTGCCTCTTTCTCCTAAATCCTATTTATAATCGGCTTGCTTCTGACCATCTTTGTGGTGAACTGGTTATTGTAATTGGATAAACCTAATTAAAGACTATGCTCCTCCTTTAGGCTTACGTTTTAAGCTGGTTTCTGACATAACTGAGAACAAATAGAAGAGGTGCCTGCCAAATGTCATGCTATAATGACATGCTTTAAAATGTTGAACAGTGAAAAGAAACAGAATTTGCCACAAACCGTAAATAGCTTTGAAATAAACACAAATGCTTTTTGTTAGGGTCCAACATATGTGACACAACTATGCATTGCTCAACATCTTCAGTGACCTGGGTGCTAGAAGCGTCCTTTCAGCACCTGCAGGAGCAGCACGGCCAGGAGAAACTGGTATTCCCCCCCTTGGCTTGGTGTTGCTTTGAAGACTATGTTGTGTTTTGGGGCCTTTCCAGTTTGAGGGTTGTTTTGAAACTGGAAGGGTCAACTGGAGACTTAGGAAGATGGTTAGGGTCTCTGAACACATGACCTTTCGAAGAGAGATTGAGGGAGTTGAGCTTGTGTAGTCAGGCAAAAAGGAGAGTAAGGGGAGATATTGGAACAGTCTTGCAATAACTTGAAAAGGACAGCTATGAAGGTGATAGTGCCAAACTCTTCTCAGTAGTACCAGATGATGTGGGAATGGGAAGTGATTGCAAATTGCGGACTGGGAGATGCAACATTGCCCAGTGGGGCCATAGAGCCTCCCTGCCTGGAGGTTTGCAAAGGCTCAGCTAGACAAAAGCATGGTCAACTGATCTTGTCTTGGTGGTGGCTCTTGGCTCCCCCCTCTAAGTGGGAGACTGGATAGCTGGCCTCCACAGGTCCCTTTTAGCTAATGTTTCTGTAGCTGTGTTGTATTTGCTGCAGTTTTGAAACTTAAGTAGTTAGATCTTGGTGCTAAAGTGAAATCTTTACTAACATTTTCTTCTGCTTTGAAGCTTTATTAAAACATATCTTTTTATTTCTTCCAATGTGAGTTCTGGTAAAGCAAGGTTTAAATATAGCTTAAATTTTCTAGCAGGTGTCTCTTTTTGTGTTTCTTTGAGTACATTTGTCCATCTTATACTTCACTGTAAATATGTAATGTTAGGCACATCTTTAATTGCTGACATAGTTGTACTTTTAAACCTGATCTAAACTTCTGTTTCTAGGAGCCAAGGCCAGGTCTGCTTCACTGAGCCAGTGCATACCAAAATCATCTGGGCCACTGCACTCAGCAAGGAAAGTCAGTGAGGCTAGAGGTAATCAGCTGTTGGATAAAGTAATTTTTTCACTCATATTCTTGAATTCCTTTGTCTTGAGAAAGAGCAGCCATGCTCTATGACTTCAGAGTAAGTGAGATGGTCAGTCTGCTCTTTTTCCTTGTAGTTCATAGTAGTGGAGACTGGCCCTGCAAAGTGTTCCTTATGTATTTGTTTTATTTGGGGGTAAAAAATCAGGGCATTCATTGTCCACTATCTGCTTGAAACTTGCATCCCACAAGGACTTGGAATACTTGATAATGTCTGTTAAATGATATTATGTCACCCACTTGTAAGAGCGTATACCTGCAAGACACAACCCAGATTAGATTTCCCAAGTTCATGTTTAATTTAGGCAAGATTCTTGTGAGAGTGTGCTGATCAGCTTTGGCTCCACTTTACATTTCTGTATCAGATGCTTGTTTTATCTTTAACTTTCAATTGAACATAGTCATTTTTACCAAAGTGAACCAAAGGAATAGATATGGGTCCTCAGACAAGCTCTCTTTAGACAAAATTTTCGCTTTGGGAGCAAAGTTCCATTTGTGTGGCTGAGGTGAGAGAAACAAGTACAGCAACAGTACAAAGCAGATTGTTTCCTATTGAAATACCTGCTGGTGGATCACACACTATTTGTAAAGCCTGAAGAAAGCTGAAGGGTGTTGTCAACAGACCTTGTATAAACTTCTGCACACAACTTTTGTGCTTACACCTAGCAGTCCAAAAGAGTGCTTTCATTTAATGAATATCCTTTAAAATAATGAGGTTCTTAGGTCAGTTTTCACAGGACTCGAAAAAAATATAGTAAGGGTAGATTAACCTTCTCAGTGCTTTCATTTATGTCTAACTTGATTAGTAGCATATTAGTGTGCTACATTAGTGGCACATTGAGAGTTCTTTTAATTTATTCCTCCTTTATACAAATAAAATAACTGGAGCATATAGGTGGAAAAAAATTACTGTGATGCCAGTATAGATGGTTGGTTTTAATTATCTGTGGTCTTCTATGTATGAGTAAAATGAAATGGTGTGACCTGGCTTAAATGAAGTATGATAATTGTAATGGAAAAAAATGTTTGGCTTATTGGGAATTCATTATGAGTTTTCCACGTAGTTTAACCTTATAGTGCTAAATCTTGCTGTTGAACATGCCATCAGCTATTGCAAGAAAGAAACTGAAGTTGTGAAGTTTTGAGGAGCTTCTGGGGCAGGGGGGTGGAAATCCAACTGCCCCACTGCCCCTTACGGGCTTGAAGTGTAATTCGCTTTTCTTTTTTTTCCCTCCCCCCGAATGTTGTAGGTACTCCTGGAAGAAACGGACACCAAAACCTACCTTGTTTGGGTTCTGGTGAGTTTTATGAATGCATTTTTACACTTTCTGTGGTACAACATAAATGAGGTTTTTATGTTATATTAGTATATTGGTTCTTTTCTTGTAAGAACAGTTTTGCAACGGATCATTCCATAAACCATCCCTGATTTCACTTTTGAGGGATATGGAGAGAAGTCTTGGAGATTTTTCTCCTTACTGTCTTCTGGCTGCCCCCCTCTTAGAATATCCAATCTGTGCTGTCACTCTCTGTTTCCACTGAAGCATAAGGACGTTTTAACTGTAACCCTCCCAAAAAAAAAAGGATGGCAATGAAACTTGGATGTAGTCTTGCTGTTTAGCCACAGTGAGGTAAATAATGATTAAAGCTCATGTGTTGTGGCTTAAAAAATAAATAGAAGAATCATGCAGAATAACAGGTTTTTCTGGAAGATTGACAGTAGATACCCATTTGGTGTCAGCTATCTTTGTGTATCACTGCAGACTACACTTTGAATAAAAAGTTGAAATCATCTGAGCATCTTGATGTGTATGTCTCCCTGTATGGCAAGGGGAGGAATGACAGCTGATTAAGTGGCAGATGGCGTTCCAAAATCTGGCAGAGTTTTTAAGGACTTTGTATTGGGTTTGTTTTAGTTTTTATGCCAGTCAGGACACCTGGTGCTACTTTCTATCTGCCAGGAGAGAGAACAGTCTTCTGATAATGTTTCTACTTGCAGCAATTTCCAGGTTTTTTCAAGAGTTGGCAGTCTAAATTAGTTTCCAGAGCATCAGTGTATATTTGCTGAATTAAAAGCTGCTTGTAATTAATTACTCATTGAAAAGCCCTTTTTGAAAGATGATGATCACTGGAAAGCCCTGTGTCCCCTGAGCGAATAGCAGATGTCTTTCTGAAAGCGCTGCTGTAGCCAAGCAGATGTTTTAAATTATTGCCTGGAATTACTGGGTAAATCAGTTCTGACCTGGAACTCTGGTGCTGCGGCAGTATGTTTTTAATTTCCTGTAGTCATAACGTGAGTCTAATGCTTTTGTCTTTCACTCTTTTGGGTGTCAAATGTCTGCATTTTAATCACGGGCGAGTACTTCGCTTGGTATCTTCTGTTAAGAGTCGGGGCTTCTGACATACAGCAAGCATAAGACTTTGCCCAAAGTGCTAATTTTGTTTGTTTGTTTACTTTTATTGATAATTCGCTGAAGTAATGGTTAGTTTAGGTATAGCCTGACACTGAGGTTCATCAGCTCATATGTGGTGCTTTTATATAGGAGTGTAGAGGATGATACAGCTAGCAACATAATGTCTTGATTAGCTCGGTTGAAGAAACTCATGATAAACAACAAACTCCATTTCTGAACTAGAAACAGAAAATTAAATTCCTCTTCCACTTGCTTATGACAGTCTTAAAATACAACTTTATTATTCCCTAAATTTAGCATGGCATTTCTCTGTATTTTCCATGCAGTAAAGTAATTAGTGCTCCCTCCCCTTTTTACTAGCTTAATATAATTTTTCTTGTCGTTCATCTTTTCCAACCTAATAAAGAATGTCGCCTTGAAGTATTATATTTGATGCCATAAAAACACGGCAAGAAACTCCAGTTGGCTGTAATATTTAGTGACTCTTTAGCAAATGCTTTTTAGCATCATACTTTCGCCAGTTGAATAGCTGTATTTCGGTGCTTGTCTTAATAAACCTGAACTGTTTCCTATACTGAGTCAGCTTCCGAAATTGGATGATACGTTAGATTTTAAAGTTAATAAATTTCTAACTTATGCAGAGCATTAGTATAATTTCCCATTCATGCATGCAAAGCTTTCTGATGGAGTATTTTGCTTTTTTTAAGAAAAATTTCCCCCTGCACCCATCTTCACAGTTGCAGATAGGTCCTACAACAGAATAAAAATACTGTGTGGCTGCTTGGATGTTCTGCAGTACAATGTCTTACATTTTAAGAAAAGACAAATGATCTTTTTTGAAATGAACTGAAAAAATGCCAGCTGGTACCATGTAGAATGGGGCCCGCTTTTGTCTTTTTTTTAGTGGCCTTGATATTATAGTGAAGCTTTGTTCTAGTGATTTTTAGCTAGCTAAAGCTTTCGTTCTTCTATTTTAGTGCCATAGTTAACTCTACATTTTTTTTTTTTTAGCCTCATTTGGTCAACCCCACTTCTGTTTATTACCCATGTGCTTTGTCTAAAGAGTCAGGACTAGTTTCTTGAGGCAGGACCCTGGTAACAAATTTATTACCATACTAACGTATTAATTAAGTGTCTAGCTGAGTTGTTAATGTTACTTTTAGCATTACCTCAAGGATGGAAAAAATAGCAGGCATTTCTAGGTTATGATCTCTGTTCTCTGACTGTTTGTGCTCTTTATCCATTTTCCATTCATTTACAGCAACGATGCAAAGCCGGGTACAACATACTGCTAATATGCCTGTAGAATTGGAAAGACTTGTGTATTGTTCATGTTAAAACATTCACAAGGCTCCTTTTTGTGAATTCTGTATTTTTTGTGGGTGATATTCCAATGGATCAAGTAATTTCTGCAAGTTCTGTGGCATATTGTTTCAGCACTGGCTTTACTGCTTAGGCAAAATCACCTCCTTAGGCATACTATGTTTTATTACACTTAACTTGCTAACTTAAAGTGAGAATGTACTTGTGCATTTACTGTAATGCCTTAATGTAAGTATGACTAAAAATGTAAATATGACTAAAAATGTTGCCTCTTGTGACATGGAATTTTGAGTTAGGTGCAAAATTGCCTCTTAAAAATGCATAAAGTTAGCACTCTTTCCTTTGTTTCTCCATCCCTCCCTGCAGAAACAGTAACCTAATTCTAATACCTGTGCAGTACATCACAGTGCAAGTCTCATGTCTCCATTGTTGAATGAAAGTTAAGTTACAGTACAATAATCCCTGGTACTACGTAAGCCAAGCAAAAGCAAATATTCTTTCTGGCAGTTCCAAAGGTAAAGCTATCATCTCAGGAATAAAGCATGCAAATATTAATTAGAAAGCTTTATTCAGTGACCCTGAAAGGGATGTATGGTTTATTACGGATAACAAGTTAAACTCATGCTTGTGACACAATACTGTTGTCAGGAAAGCTAGGGCAACTGCTGGATATACCCCTAAAGTGTTATCAAGTAGGAACAGTATCATTTGTATCATCTCTCTTTGTACTATGCTGGAGCATACCTAGTGGAGTCAGTTACTAAAGGCTGTAGAAGCCATGAAAAAACAAAGAAGCTTCATGTAAAAATGGCACACGCTCAGTCATGAAAGGTGGTATTCTGTTGCCTTAGCCTTTTAAAGAGGTTAAAAGGCTGCTTGTTTTGGTCATCTGTAAAAAAAATACAACACTGTGGGAGGGAGTAACTTCAGTCAGGTGGCTTATTGCAAAAGTGAGTAGTAGTGCTGATCAAGCTCAAATGGAAAAATAAGGTATAAATGTAACAGTTGATGAAGCTGTCTCTTGGAAGAGGTTGTTAAAGGTAGATGCTGGCTTCTCACTCAAAAGTCTTTTATTGGGATAGGATGCTTTTACTAATACAATACTCTGAGTCATACAAAATTTTATGGAGGCATACTTGAAGGTTCAGTTAACACCCCTTTCTTTCATGCCCTCAGTCATCACTGTTGAAAATCAGGGGAAACAGAGGATAAACATCTGTTCTTATGTTGTAGATTCCCTGATAGAACAGGTTACCCTCAAAATACCTGCGTTTTCAATGTCTGGAAAACAAAGGATTAATGTACATCTCGCTGTGCTTCTGCTTTAACAAAAACAAAAAATCATTAATGCTTTAAAATCTGTCATGATACTATATAAAAATGTGTAAACTTTTTTTAAAAATCAGGAAGATTATAATTCTGAGAGCTGATAAACATTGTTACGAGTGTCAAATACTTTAGATCTTCAGTGAATTCTTTCATCTAGTTGACCATCGGTAGTCTTCAGCATTGTATGGCAAGTTACCCTACTGATGAGGCATATTTGGTCAAGTGGCTTACTAGCTCTGCTGCTCCTTTCATACCTGCTCAAAAAGGTGTTGGGGTTGGGGGAGTGTGTTCTTGTTGTTTGCAAAAGTGTTTTTGCAAGTTGTAGTAGAAACTGTGCAAGCATCATTCTTGTTGCATGAATACTTAAAAGATCCTCATGCATACGTGAATGTAAGTGCTCATGTGGTTGGTCGTAGAGCAGGTAGGATTAGGGAACTTGCCCGAGTTAAAAACAAGACAGGAAAGATAGTCCTTTTGGTGGCAGTTGTAGCATAGATCATGTTGCTTGCAACATGTAGAAAACAGAGCAAACTGCTTCTGTCTCAGCACTTTGAGCATTCTTTTTTGATGACTTTATCTTAGTAGTCACTTGTTATACACTTTTCCTGCTGTATAACATAAACATTCTTAGGATTGTTACTAGGGAATATAGACAGATACTTGTTTTTCTTTAGTACCCAACTTTGCAGATGCAAGGTAAGCGTAAAACTAATTTTCTTCAGTTCAGAAGAATGTCCATTCATATAAAAAAATCCCAGAGGTCTTAAACTGTTTAAAAAACCAATGAACCAAAAAAAAAACCGCCCACAACAATTCTGATAGAGAGTGCATGTTGCAGAGCTCTACATGGCAGTTTTTGAACAAACTGTATTTCAGTGTTGTCTAAACTGTCAGCTGTCATGATACTATAACATATCAGCTGTCCTGGCTGTGCCCCCTCCCAGCCTTCCGTGCACCCCCCGCCTGCTCGCTGGCAGGCCAGGGCGTGGGAAGCTGGGCAGGACTTGACTGCTCAGCAACAACTGAAAACATCAGTGTGTTATCAACATTATTTTCATCCCAAATCCAAAACCCAGCACTACATCAGCTATCAGGGAAAAAAATTAACTCTATCCCAGCTGAAACCAGGACAATATCTTAGACATTTTAAGGCTCTTTCCTGTTCTGCACTGGAATAAATTATCTTCTGCAATGAAGTTAAAACCAGGAGGAAGATTCTGCTTTTTAATAGC